CGTTGCCCTTCATTTTCCATCCAATGGCAATACATTCAATGCAGAATAAACTAACCAAAGAAAAGAAAACAGGAAAGACATAATAAGAGTTCCAGTAATGTTCACTTTCATACTATTTTTATCAAAATTTCATACACATTTCTTACATTCATTGTCTATACTATTTACAATAAGATATCTCTTATAGGTTTTTATTTCTTATATTATCATTGAATTTATTGTCATAGAAAATTATATCATTTTCAATTTTATATTATCAGTTAATGCTTAAGTATTCTTTTTTATTTCTGTAGATTTCAATTAAAAAAGATTAGAGAAAAAGGAGAGACGAGAAAAACGATGAAAAATAGTTTTTCTCATAGCTTGTGAATGCAACCATGTGTGTCAGCAACTAAAAAAAGAGAAAAGCGAGAGCTAAGACGTTCGATGATTCAGCAAGGGCATATTTTCTTTTTTTTACTCGTTTCGCCATCGAATAATACTTTAAGAGAGACGATACTGTGGCATACGAATAGAAAAGAACAATAGACATCATTTTTTCATCGAAGTTATTTATCTCTAACACGCAGCATTTTACACACCGAACGAAAAAGATTTTTTTTTTTTATCATCAACTATACTGTGAAGACTCCTCTAAGAATCTTATTAAAAACATTATGTCATATCGATTAGTGTAAAATAAATTGCGTAGATATGTACGTTTCTATCAATATTCGTTCGCTACCTCTATTTCTGTCGGCCTCTCGACATATTCGATAGAAGAAAGAATAAGAAAAATAAAAAAAAGTATACCATGTGATGAGTTGATTTTTATTCTTTTTTTTTTTCTTCTTCATTATAAACATCTCAATCTATTTTCTCGAAAGGTACAATCAAGGTTTACACCAATCCTTTGACTATTATCGTTCTCTTTCATAAAATACCAAACAACCTACATATACATACTAAACAGAACGACAAAAATCTAGATGAAAACAACATCATAAACATATTTTTATATTGAAAACCAATCAAAAAAATTATTAACAATGTTGTGGACCACAAAGTACCACTATGGTAAAACATCCATTCGTTATTTATCAATATGGATCAAAAATTTAAATGGTAATTATTTTTAATTTTATTGTATAATTGTATACTTATTCCTTGTTCTTTTTTTTTTCTTTTATATATGTATTATTCAGACATCTCTCGATCAACTTCACGTTTCTATACATTATCTACATGCCATTTTTCAATTGCTTCTTCTTCAACATTAGTAAAAAATTCAACTAATCATAATGCGATACATCAACCTGTCACACAAAGATCAATATTATTATCATCTACTAATAATTATCTATCAAATCCTTTAGTAACAAGATTATGTCGTGCAACATCAACTCATTCAATATGGAATGAAACAGCATTACCAGATAAAATAAAAACATTAGATGAATATAAAGCAATTTATGCATTATCAATTAAAGATCCAAATCGTTTTTGGAAAATGGCAGCAGAATGTTTAGATTGGTATCAATTTCCAACAAAAATAAAAAATACAGAATTTGATTATCGTACTTCACGTGGTGTTGATATTAAATGGTATGAAGATGGTATAATAAATGTTTGTTATAATTGTCTTGATCGTCATATTCATCATGATCATAGTATTGCTCAACAAGTAGCACTTATATTTGAACCTGATACACCAACTGAATCTCGACATCATATAACATATGCTGAACTTTTACGTGATGTTAAAAAATTTGCTAATGTACTTAAAAAACATGGAGTTAAAAAAGGAGATCGTGTTACTCTTTATATGCCTATGGTAATTGAAGCATGTGTTGCAATGCTTGCATGTGCACGTGTTGGTGCAGTACATTCAGTTATATTTGGAGGTTTTAGTCCAAATAATATTGCTGAGCGTATATCGGGTTGTGATTCAACAGTTATTATAACAACTGATTTTGGTGTACGTGGTGGAAAATCTTCACCATTAAAAACTAAAATTGATCAAGCTTTAGCATTGAAACAATGTAGTAATGTTAAAACTGTACTTGTTTTTGAAAGAAATCATGGTATGACAGAATTAAAAGATGATTGTTCTCATTTACGTAAAACACTTGAATGGACAGACGGAAGAGATTTTTGGGTACATAAAGAAATGGAAACAGTTAATGATAAATGTGAACCCGAAAGAATGAATGCCGAAGATCCATTATTCATTGTAAGTTTAAATAAATAAAAAATAAATACAAAGAACAAAAAAAAAAAAAAGAATTTATTTATTATAGCTTTATACAAGTGGTTCAACAGGTACACCAAAAGGAATTGTTCATACAACAGGTGGTTATTTAACATATACTAGTTTAACATTTAAATATAGTTTTGATTATAATCCCGGTGATGTGTATATGTGTACGGCTGATATTGGTTGGATTACAGGTCATTCATGTAAATAATAAAATTTTTTCAATATCTTAATCAATATTTAATAAGTCATATATAGATGTTGTTTATGGACCATTAGCAAATCGAGCAACAACTGTTATTTTTGAAGGTATACCAACATACCCTGATGTATCACGTTATTGGAACATTATTGATAAACATGAAGTAAATATTTTTTATACAGCACCAACAGCTATACGATCATTAATGCAACACGATGATGCATATGTAACTAAAACAAATCGTCAATCATTAAGAATTTTAGGTAGTGTTGGTGAACCAATTAATCCTGAAGCATGGAAATGGTATCATTCTGTTGTTGGTAAAAAATTTTTTATATCGTTTAAATAAATTATTTATTTGATTTTTCTTTCTAGGTGATAATCGATGTCCAATCATTGATACATGGTGGCAAGTAATATCAAAAAAAAAATTTTTTTTAAATTTTACTCTATGTTTCATATCAAAAATGTTTTCTATTTGAAATAGACTGAAACAGGTGGTATCATGATTTCACCTATACCAAATGCTTGGGAATTAGAACCAGGTTCAGCTACATTTCCATTTTTTGGAATTCAAACACAATTATTTGATCAAACAACTAAAAAACCATTAAAACCACCAAATCATGGTGAATTATGTATTGCAGATTCATGGCCAGGACAAGCACGTAGTCTTTATCGTAATCATGAACGTTTTGTTGATGTTTATTTTAAAACATATCCTGGTTATTATTTTACTGGTGATGGTTGTGAAATAAAACCAAATGGTTATCATTGGATAACTGGTCGAGTTGTTCGTAGATGATAATTTATTTATCTTCATATGAAATTATTTTTTTATTTTTTTTTATTTCTTAGGATGATGTACTTGTTATATCTGGACATAATATTGGTACAGCTGAAGTTGAAGCAGCACTTGAAGAACATGCAGGTGTAACTGAAGCTGCTGTTGTTGGTTATCCAGATCCAAAGAAAAATCAAGGAATGTATTGTTTTGTTACATTAAAAGATAATGTTAAACCAAGTGAAGAACTTCGAAAAGAACTTATACGAAGTGTACGTGATTCAATTGGTGCACATGTTTATCCAGATGTAATACATTTTACATCAAATTTACCTAAAACACGTAGTGGTAAAATAATGCGACGTATTTTACGTAAAATAGTTGAACCTGACACAAGTAATCTTGGTGATACATCAACATTAAATGATCCAACTATTGTTGAAGAATTAATTAAAAATTCTCCACGAACAAAACGTTCCTAATGAAAACTAATATCAATAAGACTCATATATCTTTTTATCCCGTTATTATTTTTACCTTAGATAATCTATGTATTTTCTTTGGTAATATATATATATAATAAGTTCTATTTTAGTATTTGTAAATATATAGCAAGTTTGTCTAGGATAAAAAGAGAACATTTGTTTTGATTTCTTATCGCTATAAGATACATTCATATATATATATATTTAGAGCGTACGAAAAGTAATAATTTTGATAGATATAATTCTACAGGAAATAATTAATCAAGTATTTGAACTGGTATAACCATGTATAATCAATTTATTTGAAGATATTGATTGAAGCTTTTTTTTTCAAATAATCTTTAATGAAAAATATTTATCATCTCAGTTATGGTATTCCATACAGTGATTAGAAACCTTTCTTCTTTCTATATCTGTCAGTTTTTTCGAAAATTATTCGACAAATTGTTATTGTTAGAAAAGACATGAAACATTGTTGTGAAGCTAAATTTCTGTACTAAACTGTCACTGATAAAGATTGTGGTTTTTCGAGTTCAAAGAGTCTAAACTGACTTATGTGTGACATATTCAGAAATAAAAAAAATCAATCATTCATAAACATAGGTTAAATATTCTTGTCAGTAAGAAAAATTATATCATCATCTATGAGACTTGTTAACTAAAGAAACATTCTTTCAGTTTGAAATTATAAAATATTTTATATCCATTTTGATTCAAATACATAGTTTAATATTTTTAAATTTTCAAAACTTAAACAAAAAAAAATTAGTACAACAAATTTCATTATATAAATATTCATTAATAATTCACGGCATGTATTTTTCTTTATTGTTATATATTATAATTAAGAAACATTCTATTCTTTTCATTATAATGGAAACAGTAATTATTTAATACAATTATATAATTACTAGATACAAATTGCATATAAAATACTATAATCAGTTATTTTCTTTTTATATATATATCGATTTTATAGAAATAAATAACAAATAAGACTTATATCATTTTCTTAGATAAACTATTTTTATTTATAAAATCGATTTATAATAAATAACTGATATTTATTGTTCAGATTCATAAAATGTCTAGCGTATGTTATGATTATTTTACAAAAAAAAAAAATAATAATAATAATAATAAAAAAACAAAAACAAAAACCACTGTAACTGTTAGTCAATATTCATAAAAGTTATCAACAAAATGGAATTGAATAGAAGAAATATAAGTACATACTGTCGATGATTAAGAACAACAGATCATAGGAAAAAAAACAAAACAAAATACAATAACCTATGGTAATTTTGTCAAATTATAAGTTTTAAAAAGTTCCTGCGTTGTGAGTTCAATAGTATTACATGCTTGTACTATTTCATCGGTGTATGTATTAATTTCATCAGTAGTTCGTTCCGTGAGCAATTTATTCACAAGTTCTTGGCGATTAGGAAGTGTTAATTTAATGGCAGCCATAATTCTAAAAACAGAAAGTAAAATTTTTGGTTTTTTCTTCAGTTATTTAACTTTTATGATATTCTATTAATTCAATTGTTTTGGTTATAGTGACATCTGTAATGATAATGAAAGTAGAATTTTTCAAAGTTCTTATTTTGTGATACGCAATCTAAAAGAAGTGTTGAGATATCAGGGTGAAAATTTGAAGCTCCTCATAGACCGTTTATCGATAATATCTCATTATAATATATGAACTATTTTCTTATTACATTTCTGGAGCATTAAGTACAAGGTCGGTGAGAAAATATGTCCCAAAATAGTCTGTCTGTGACTAGTAATAGCAGCTACATCGTGTTTCGCATTTTAATCCAGCAGGAATTACGATGACAGTTTTCTTTTTGTTTTTCTTATCTTTTCAAAGTAAGATTCAGAATTTTTGGAGGTCACTGGGTACATTTCTCTTCATATAAAAATATATTCTCTCATTTGATATAGTAGTTAGTAAAATTTAAGATTAAACAAAAAATAAATAAATATTCTCATACGTATATTTAACAGGCCATGAATGAAATTGTGCCATTGTTGCTGAATATGCATTGCAAGCAATAGTTGCTGAACTGGCATCATCTGGTGCTGTACGCATTTCACTTAAAAAAGCCGAAAGAAAAGCAAGTGCACGATGTAATCTTAATAATGTTCGACATCCATTATGTAATGGTTTGCCAGGTTGAATAAATATTTCTGTATCTCTTGATTGTATACGTCCTGATTCAATCTCATATACAATCATTGATTGTATAGATTCATAATTAATTGGATCAAGACGTAAATGTTCTCTTAATATCATTAATTTACCTGATAAATCTCTTGTTGCCCATTCAAATATAGTACCAAGAGAACAAACAAAACTAAAAACAAAAATAAAACACAAATATAAGACTTTCTTTTTGTTTTTTCTATTTTATCTTACGTGCATAATTCTTCATAAGCACGAACATATTCAGCAAGTAGAAGTGTATCATCAGATCGAACACAATTAACAAAAGCATCTCGAAGAGTTTTTATATCAAATTTATTTGTCAAACTTTTGGTTGGAATATCAGATGAATCTATTATTGTTTCACATGGTGTTGTCGTATTTAATGCCAATTGTGTATCTGGTGCAGATGACATTGATTCGTATTTTATATCACAGCTTGATTTTGGATTATTTTTTATAAAGGAATTTATCTAAAAATCAATATAAAAAGAACAAACCGGAATTATTCGAAGTTAGTTAGGTAGTTTTCTTTTTTTTTTTTTTTTGAGTTGTTATTTAAATATCATCATCGATTTTGTCATTAACATTTGATAAAACATTAGATTCCATATCAATATCATTTTCCTCAAATGGTTTTGAAAAATTATTATTATTATTACTTGGTAATCTTGATGAAAAATCAAAATATTCAGTTATTTGTATGGCTGGTTGATTTGATTGTAATGTAGGCTTCGAACAATTGGTTGAAGAGTCAGTCACACTAGAAGACAAGCTAATATAACATATGTCTTATATTATTATTATTTATCATACAATATAATCATTCACGACAAAAAGAAAAAAATTATTTCTTTCCCTGTTTTTTCTTCTCTTTCTTTAGTATGGGTTGGCCGATTATTACATCAAGGTGAATCATTGACATTTCATAAAAAAAATATTGCGGGGGTGTGTATTATATATAATCAATAACGTCATATTATCGAGTCATTAAAGAAACACGTTAGATTTCTTATCGAAATATAAAATTAGTAATTTTGAATATCAATATATAACAGAAAATAATATCAATTATTGATGATCAATAACAGATGTCTCGGAGAAAATTGTCCTCAAAATTTTAGGTGTATTTTTTTGTCTTACTTATTATGCATAAAAAAATTTTCTTAATATGTCAAAACATATAGAATTTCAAGATATACAACACTGTTTTTCAAACAAGTTTAATATTGTTGAAGGCAAATTTTAAAGATTTACATCTACTTATATTTATTTCATTGCGATTTTCTATTACTTTCTATAAAGACAATGTATAACAGGAAATTTTTGTTTTTATAAATAAGAAACAAGAGAAAATTGAATTAAGATTTAATATAATTTCTTCCGTGACATTCGTTATTATTAATTGAAAACTAATTTTCATTAAGAAGAATTATGAATAGTTTCAACTTGGTTTTTGTTTTTTTCGAAGAAGATTGTCTGCTAGAACCTCACTCAGTCCTGTTCAAATAAGTACATCTGACAAACATAGAATATCAAATAATTTTTGTAAAAACTTACTGTTTGAAAGTGAACTATTTTTGAATATAGCATTTTTGATTGAATATATTTTTCTAATTATGGTTTTGTGTACAGTGATTTTCATTGAGTTTTATAGAGAATTTTACGAATTATCATTTGAAAAATGAAACAAATTCAAATTTCAAAAACTACTGAGAAGATCATTCTTTATGTACCATTTGTTGGTGTACAGGATCGATCGGTATATGTGCTAAGGAAAATGTTTCAAGTGTGTAAAAGTTATTGATTGTAAGAAAATTTTTTGATTTAGAAAATTCAAATAGCAATAAGAGCATAAATTTCGTGCATAATTTCTTCTGTTTTTATCATAAGAATTTATAATTTAATAAAAATTGATGATTGAAATATTGAGAATCAATTATAATTCTTTAAACATTTTATCTATGTCTTGTGTGGGTTTCTTTACTTACACAGGTGTACTTGGTTCAATAACAAAATAATCTGATTCTGTCGTATGAAATGAACAATCATCTGTATCATTTTTTAATTCAATTACTGATAGATTGCTATTATATCTTACAGATTGAGAATAACTCCTATATATAAAAAGGCAATAATAAAAGATGAACTTTCGTTGAATATAATAATAATAATAATTTCTTTTTTTTATTAATATTCTAACCTTTTCATTTTTGAAGTTCGTTTAGTTGAATTTTCAAGTGGTTCTTCGACTGTATAAGGTGTTGATGGAAATGGTCGTTTGAATAAAAGATCATCATCTTCTTTTTTTGTTTCTTTAACTATAATAGGAGATGAATTTTGATTTTGATTTTCTTGTTCTTGTTCTTTTTCATCCATCATTGGATTATTATTATTGAATTGCACTGGATAAATTGGCATATAAGGAACAATTTGCATAGACAATTTTTTACTGAAAATCTAAGATGAAAAAAAAAAACAAAACTTTATTTAAAGAATATCATCTCACCATTCAAAATCATAAAGTTTATTAATTAAACTATCTTGTAAATCATTTTTTCTTAAATTATCTTTTAATAATTTATGTATTTCAAATCGTGTTTCTTTTCGAGATAACTTATCTGTTTCATTTTGATTAATATTCTCTTCTCTAACGAACAAAATAAAAATAATAACAAAAGAAAATTCAACGAACAAAAAAAGAAATTAACAAAAAAAAAAAAAATTTTTTCATACTCATCATCTTGTGAATTGTAAGAGATTGACGTATTTTTATTTTCAGATAAATCTAATGAAAGTGTTTGCATATTTTTAATTAATATTTCTTCAGTTAGAAATATTTTATTTTGATATCTAATTAATAAATTAAAATTTAAATATAAAGAATAAAAAAATTTATCGTTTTTTTTTCTAACTTTTCTTCAAAATCACTCGTATCTACTTTACGTTTTCGATACCCTCTATTGGACCACAAATTAGATGAATTTGTAGGAATACTATCAAAAGAAAATAGATTTTTCATATTTATATATATATATATTATACGTATAATTTTAAAATCTTTTCGTACTTTGAATTATTAGATGTCATCCATGATGATGATTGCATATTGTCTAGATCAAAAAAAAAACACCTATATGAGTCTATAAAAGAACAATATAAATATGTTATACATACATATTCTTAATATAGCTTGTCGAATACAATCCATTAGAGTACGTACAATTATACAACTTATCATTCTATTCATCAATATTCTCAACAGACAGAGGGCGACATATGACGGAAGAGAAATTGCATGTTAAATTTTTATCAAAAAATCAAGAAATATTTGATCTTATCTGTTATTGAATTATATAACAAAGATAATTTACTTTTCTCTTGCAAAAGAATAAATGTTATCCTTAATCACAAATATTTTATCTGTTCATTGAAGTTATTACAAAATAATTTCATTGAATTTCGCTATTCTTACGCAAGAACACATATAATCATGAAGTTTATAATGTATAAAAATCCACATAAATTTTTACTTCTAGAATTTACTTTTTTTTTTTTAAATAGAATAGCTTTTTCTTCTATTAAATGGCTTCAAATAGTATAGACGATGAAAAACCAAATTTACGACCAACTAAATATAATAATGCTAGTGGTAAGAGTCTTTATTTACATCATAATCCTAATCAATCATCGACAAAATCATATATTCATGCAATATGGAAAAATATCGATGAACAATTAAATGAGTCTTTTTATGATAAACAAGATCTATTTGGTATTCAACAACCTCATATTGAATATTCTTTAAATAAACAACAACGATGGAATATTTTAAATGATATTCATGAATATATTGCTAATCAATCAAATTCATCATCAGATAATGAATTTAATACACAATTTGATTTGAAACAAAGACGAAAAAAGAAAAAAACTCGACAACAATATATAAATATTCATCAAACAAAATATCATTTATATGAATTTCATCAAATTGAACGAAAATCTAATTGTATAAGAATGACCAATAATACAACAGAACGACATGTACAAACACCTAGAAAAACTTATATGAATAAATCAATAAATAATATTAAAAAAAAAGAAGAACAAAATCATCAAAATAATAGTGTAGAACATGATAATAATAAAACAAAAGAAGTTACTCCCGATATAACTTATTTCGCAGTAGTTCCAGCACCACGAGAAAAACAATTAGTTAATATTAAAAAAAATTCTAATACAAAAAGTAATAACCTTTATACATTTTTATCGAAATATTTCTTTTGCTTATCTATCATAGGAAAGAAAACAAGATCATATATACAACGTGATAAATTTACTGAAGTAAAAGAACGGTTAGATAGTGAGGAACAATTAGAAAATGAAAAAGAAAACTTATCAACGGATGACGATGAATCCATAATATCAGTAAATATTCAAATTTATTCTTTCTTTTTTATTATTAATTTCATTTATTCAATTGTAGCACTATACTATCTCAAAACCTGATGAATTACAATTAAATGATTTCATTGCTATTACATCAATCGATGATAATAATAATAATAAAATATCTTTTAAATGTGAAAATTCTGATCAAATCAATTCATTGCAACAAAAAAATCGATTTTATCGACAAATAAGTACAGAAGAAAAATTTTATAATCAAGATATGACTACATATGTCAAAATGGTATGAATATATATAATTGAAATTGTTTCTTTTAAACATTTATTTTTCTTTTTTTTTTCTCATCAAATTTAGCAACGAAAACCTAATGAAACAAATAAATCAAAAGGAAAATCTTCTCATCGTTTAATGTCATTATCATTTCGTACGATTTTTTTACATCAAACAGAATTAACTATTGAATATCTATCAAAAACTTATGGAAAAAATTTTCTTCATGCTCAATGTTATCCAACAAAATATTTAATTTGTCTTACAGATCGTTTAAAATCTTTTCAATGGTCAAATAAATTAAATTTTTTTTCATCTAATCGAATACTTAATTGTTATCTTATTATTATATTAAATAATAATGAATTAAATAATGAAAATAATATTTGTCAAGGACAAGTAGCTCTTAATATGGATTTATATACTGATACAATAGAAATTGAAAATTTATCTCAATCAAAAGATAATATATATAAAATTGATGAATTAATAAATAAAACAATTGAATTTATAACAAATTTATCAACGGATAAATTTAAATCAATTAATTTAGAAATCAATCAAAGAAAATTGTATCCAAATGAAATAGATAATCAATTAAGTGAATGTGAATTTATTAATAAACAAATTCATCAAATACATTTATTAGATAAAAATGATTTACAAAATAAATTAAATATTGAAGAATTAAATAATAATAATAATAATAATTTAAGTCGACCTGATATTTGTACAAATTGTTGTTGTGATATGAATGAATTAACACCAATGACAGCATTAAAATCTTGTTCACATTGGTTATGTAATCATTGTTGGAAACAATATCTTGAAAATTCAATTAAATCTATTCGAATTATACGTTGTCCAGAATGGAATTGTTGTTCACTTGTTGATATTGGTAAGATTTTTTTTTTCTAAATTTTTATATTTCATTTCAAATTTTATTTATCAATCAGAATCAGACATGTACAGAGATTGAATATTAGATTTTTGTAACTTAAATTGTTAATCGCAAAAACAAAGGACTTGAAAAAAATTATTGAACTAGCGAACAGAATGCTTCCAATTGATTTGGAGTCCGTGTATAAAATATAGTACAGTATGCTTTGAAAAACTTCAAAAAGATACGGTTCCTTAGGCCTTCGATCCATAACTATAGGCATTTTACTAGAATTTTCGCCTCAGGCATGGTATGTACCAATAAATCGAAGGACTATATTTCGATCTGAGATTGTGCCCACAGACAGATCTATTTGTCAGTAAAATGTCCTGAAAATTTCAGCTCTCAAGAACGTTTTCTTCCCAAGATAATAAAGTTCCAAAAATCATTCATATGTAAAGAAAGATGTTAGTTTTTTGCGACTACGATATCTCAGGAAAGAAATATTCTTTTGAGCTAAAATTTCCAGGACACTCTACTGACAAATAGATCTATCTGTGGGCACAATCTCAGGTCGAATTACTGTCCTTCGATTTATTGGTATATATCATGTCCGAGACTAAAAGTTCAGTAAAATACCTATAACTCTGGACAGAACGCCTATAGGACTTATTCTTTTGAATTTTTTCATATATCACTGGACTGTACTTTATGTACAGAGTCCGAATTAGAGAGCTGCGGGTCCATGTTTTTTTGGACCCGGACCCGGGCCCCGGAAAAACTAAATTTTCAGACCCGGACCCGGCTGAGTCTAGACCCAGACCCGATCCTCTTTTCACCAATATTTGACACCCCATGTGTACATGAACCGAAAAGGGAACACAATTTTAGCTCTTCATTGGAGACTTTAAAGATCAAATGAGTGTAAAATTATTTCTGACTGTTTCTTTTTCAATTTTGTTAACTTCAATTGTTATTGTTATATATTTCCATTCATAACTTAATGCAGACCGGGTCTGACTTTCCTCTTAGGTTTAGACCCGGGCCCGATAAAAGCTAAATTTTCAGACCCGGACCCTGTCGGACCCGGGTCTGGAAGGACCCGCAGCTCTCTAGTCCGAATTCAAAAACGATTGATCAGTTGAAAGTAAGCTGGTTGAAAAAAGTTTAATAACAACATATTTTTGAGGTTTTTCTATAATATTAAACAGTTAGTCTAAATCTAAATAGTGATTTAATAGCCGATAGAATTCTCTATCGAATGCACTTCATATTAAGATTTTATATGGTATAGCTTCTGAGAAACCAAACACGGCAGTTTTCAGGTCCGAGAAGTTATTTTTTAACAATGCCATTTTAAAGAGGTCGCCGCATTTTCTACCACCTTCCCTTAAAAAGTTAAAAGTATCATAAATATCGTAAAAAAAAACGCCTTTTTCTTGGTTTTTATGATACTTTTAACTTATCAAAAATTATGATAGTTGCCCTAACATTATGAGTAACTGCCAAAATTTCAATGTAATAGAAAGATACTTCAAATATACAAAACGATATTGTTTCATGCTGAAATATAAACACGAAGTACTTTTCTTAAAGTATAAATATCTCTCACGAATATTTGTACTTTAATTTGAAAAAGTAGAGAAAAATAAAAACTAAAAAATGTTAACGGTCAAATCTCTAATTAAAGACTAAGTATATTGCATTCTATGTGAAAGTTTTGATTCAATCCGAAGAATGTATTGAATAAAATCTGATATAGAATTTCAAATAATAATCTTTATCTATTTAGGTACAATTTTATCTTTGGTTAATATTCATTATATGAATATCTATGAACGTAATATAGAAAAATGTCTTGTAAATTTATCTCGTTCATATATTAAATGTCCATTAAAATCATGTTCAATTATTTTTCAAATTATTGATTCTGGTATTGATTATGTTCGATGTCGTTGTGGTCATCAATTTTGTATTGATTGTAAACAAGAACCACATTTTCCAGCAACATGTACTTCCTATCGAGCATATATAGATGAAGTATATCAAAACGGTGATTTACTTTCTGATTATAATACTAAACTTATAGTTAGAGGTCGACATTGTGTATCATGTAATAATTTTATTGAAAAAAACGGTTAGTTTTTATTTTATTATTAAAATAAAAAAAATAAATTTTTGTTTTTGTGTCATATAATTTAGGTGGTTGTAATCATATGACATGTCGATGTGGTGCTGAATTTTGTTGGCTTTGTACTGCTTATTGGAAAGATCATTTTTCATCTAATGGTGAATTTCAATGTCCAAAACAACAAATATCAATTCAAAAAAAAGTTCTAACTAAAGAACGTAATCCATCTCGAAAACTTTATGAACTTGCAATTCATCATCGACATCAACGTACTTTTCAAAATCAAACAAAACAAAATGAAAATGTTAAACGTCTTATTGGAACAATACCATTAGATAGAGAAACTTGTTTTGATACTAAACTTATTAAATCACAAATTGATAAACGTGAAGAACTTTTACGACATTCATATGAAATGGTTAAATATATCATTTATTTACATCGTATATGTGAATTTATTGCTGTAGCTGCTGATGGTTATGCTAATAATCCAATTGAATTTTCCAATAGTATATA